ACATTTTTCAAATTTAGGGAGTTAAGTTTTCATTTAGTTCATTAAGCAAATGTCTGGTGTTAATTTAGCTTGATTTCGAGATAATAATGGACCAAGACTTCTAAGATTAATGACTGCCTTTTTCAGTCGTTCCTCTTTATCGTTAGGAGCACGCTCTCGATTTAGCTCACTACAAAACCGCCTGTGGTAGTTTTCATACCTCCTTGCAATCACCAATGTACGTGGTAACAAATGGTTTTGCCTGGTTATGCAAAATCGTTATGAAAGTTCGGCATCAACTTGACTCCAAGAGTATGAATCACGCTGATTTTTGTTAGATTAACTTACGTCCACTTCATCTCCCATAGTGTGCACGAATGTGGTCTTCTTTTAAAACAAACAAGCATATTCTGAGGTACCAACCCTACGGCTTTATCAAGCATTCTGTGCTCTCTATGGCCAAAATCGTTCGCGTATTTTTTGAATCAGCTTCTGGACTCATTTTAATAAATTTTCCGCGTCACTGCACAAACGACTGATTTCCCTCTAGCAACAATGCGACTTTTGATTAACTGTTTCGTCTTCTGTACTGTCTAATGCATCAGCTGAAACTGACTTCAAGAAACTTAATTGCGATAACTGCCATTACCTAACGCATGCACATTTGCCTTCCTTTCAGCCAAATTTACCCGTTCACAGGCGAATTCGAAGGCGGCCAATCTCAGACACATTTATTTCATACGCGCTTTAAAACTGGAGTGGAACTTGTGTAAGCGGAGTTGGGAAGGACATGAATTGAGAGACAGGGAGCAAACAAACCCTGATAGCAAAAAATAAGAATACAAATCAACTGCATAAAATCAAGAGTCTGCTACAACGTGTCCAAGTGCCTGTCCCACCCGCACCCTTTCTGCCCGCTTCACGAAAAATTGGAAGCCTGCGGGTGCCTCGAAGATGAGCACGATGGTGGAACCAAAGTTGAATTCGCCAAAAAGTTCACCCTTGATGGTCTTGATGGGTTGGAGAAAATGAAGATCCTCGTACCCATCCATTTTTATGATAATGGGCATTGTTCCGCACTCGCTGGCAGAAACGGGATCTGAGGTGGGGCCATTGGCATTGCTGGTAACTTTGACTCCACGGCGTGCTGAGAATAGATGGCGCAAGTAACTGGGTTGCCGATTGGTAACGAGATCGGGATCGGCGAATACATGAATGCTGCCGACGTTCGTAGCTCCTACAGCCACGAAAGCAAAGAATCCGTGCATCCAGTTACCCATATAGACGGCACGCTCGTTGATGCAGAAAACCCCGTTCAACCAACTCGTCACGAGAGAAGAAACGGAGAACAGACGACCTACAGTAGAACAGAATCATGTGAAGTCCTCATCTGCCTAAAAAAATGCAGCAAAGGTGTGGAAAAAATATCATTCGCTCCAGTATCTCGATTATTGCGAGTTAATGGCGCACAGCCGTTGCGTTTTTGATTTCCTATTAACACTTTCCAACTCTTTTAAAATGTGAATTTTTGCTTTCGAAACCACTCAATGGGGTAATAGAAGCCTGTCTTTTAGACGTACTCGAGTGAACATGTTTAGGAATACCATGAATTATGCAAAAGGTGTCGTGAGTATAGACAAGTTCCCGTCGGCGTCGGCGATTCTGGTGCTGTGTAACTTCAGATCACAGAAATGCGGCATTTAGCTCTAAACACCCATAAAGTAGGTTGGAAAACGTGCCTCATGCCAAAAAGTTCTTCATGATGCCACGTATTGCTACAAAGGGGGAGTGGAGTCGCGCATTCATAAGTATCGTAACCAATGGAATTTTTCCGTGTTATCTCCTGTTTCAACTCGAATGTTGGGACGCATTTATCAAAATTTTAATAAGGAA